GAATCGTTTGATAATAAACTTCGATCCAACTCAGAGATACGGTCCTGCATCAAATGCACCACAGGGGCTCGAGTATTATGGAGCCGTGGCCTACCTAAAGTCCCTCACCCTGCCACAAGCAATTAGAGGCTTGGAAGTGGTATGTTTACGCTGAGTAAATGCGGTGTGAAAAATTGAATATGAGTCCCAGCTGAATTAGAAAGCTATTATGTAGTAGTCACACCGGAACAATGGGATTATGCTTTGTTTACATCTTCTTCATCTTCATCTTCCATCGCCTCTTCTCCTTTCGGGTCGCGGAGGCAGACACGTCAGACAGAGCTTCCAACGTTCCCGGTCCTGTGCCAGAGTCCGAGCTTCGGCTGAAGACAACTGGCGTCTGGAACAGAGTCCTTCCATATATTTACACCAGGTTAATCTTGATCGTCCCCTGGGCCTTCTACCGGTCGGATTTGCAAGGAACAGTTGCTTAGCCTTCCTTTCTGGAGGCATTCGAAAAACATTCCCAAGCCATTGCAGCTGTGACTTCTCAATCTGGAGAATCAGAAGCTGTACACCAAGGCTCTCCCAGATGTCAGTATTCCGGACCATGTCGAGAAGTATAAGGCTAGCGACTCGTCAAAGAAAGATCATTTTAGTAGCTTCTACCCGGGTTCAAAGTTCTTCAGTGATGGCTTTGTTTACATGCTAAACTCATTCTTCATACTGCAATATACATCTTAAAATATAGCACAATTTACAGTATCATGCAAAGAGGTGTGTATCACTTTAAAAACAAAATTTCGATCATAACACGCATTTGAAGAAAACATTGTTCAGTATCGTCCGACATTTCCAATTATCTAATCATTCATTCTTCGGTGTCGTTTATGGCAAGGTATCAGAACCCTACTGCAATATGAATAATTTGCATGCTTCAAATGAAAGAATTTTAAACATACCTTGTTGGAAAATCAACTCTGTCACTATCGTCATTTACCCAAACATCGCCTGCTAAGATGAGCATATATTTGGTAATTTAAATAATTTATGAAAGTTGCCGTGCATATTGCAGAGCTTATGACCAACAGTATTTCGTTCTTGTTACTTCTAGCACAGCGTTTCATTGATTGCGTCATGGGTTATGGTCATATGGTATAAGTCTCCAATGTGCTGGTGACATCAACTTTACGAAACAAGGCAACGACGTGAGAAAGGCAACATATGAAGACCAGAGTCAGCAGAAACTCGACTATATTTTGGACAGGAGTTCAAGGCATCATTCACTGTTCGAACCCGTCGGCTGCAAGCTTTAAGATCACACCCAGCAGCTTGCTGAGTTTATAAGATACGGATGCACACATGCAGTCATGATGCAGTGGCAGAATCAAGCAGAATGTTGACATTCTTTTAAATTAATAAATGAATGATAAAGTTTTGATTATGCGAATTCGTCTAAGCTGTCGTTGCACTCCACCTATAGTCGAAAATTATGCTCTTTTAAAAATAATACACATTCTGAAGGAGAATTCCCACTTAAAAGAGGACTACTGCTAGTGACTTTCACGAAAGCACAAACAAGCTAGAAAGCGAGAGAAAAAACCATCTCACAGGAAGAAGCAGTATCACCCAGGTAATTCATAGTAGTCACATGAAATGTTTTCAACGCACCATGTTATGAAAATCCCGGACATGAACATAAATGACAGAATTTAAGCCACCTTCAAAGGAACTTCAGAGAAGAATCCAAGAGCTGAGCGACACCAGCATTAAAATAGGACTGAAAACGAACCTTAAGAACGATCATGTGATGTTAAGCAAAAACATCACCACAGACACGTTGAAGTCTCCGGGTTAGGCTTTAGGACGTGCAAGGCTATGTCTATCTGAGACGGTTCATCTCTGCAATGGACAACTGCCCTGTGAAAACAACAGAAGAATAATAAGAACATTGAGACTTGGAAGAATGAAAGCGTTTCTAACCGAGAAGCTGCCAATGTGCTGCAAACGAAAATTCTTTGATTAGGGTATTACCATTGAAAACCTGTAAACCATTCATAAGTTGCAGACTAAACAGCGCAATATGAAGGGGTATCTGTTGGGAAATATCAACATTAAAATAAGAGGACAGATGAATGGGTAAGAGCATAAGCAGGTGACATTGTAGTTGCATGAAAAACTAAATAGATAGGTAGGATGTTTCAAGAAAAACAAACTTTTATATATTGCTCGATGGGCTGAATCACACAACAGATGCTGCTGACCACCGCCCAGATTCTGTGCGACCGATTGCCGGATCAAGCTCTAACATCAACCAGCGGACTGCGCTGTGTTGCCGTTTTGGCGCAGCCGTTTCGGCACAGACTGCTGGTTAGTGGTCCTGCAGAAGCAGGGCTGATTCTGTATTACTGGACAGTGGTCAGCTGCATCATTTGCGTTGTTCAGACCATCAAGTTATATATCAATGAATAGCTCTCTGTGAGCGAAATTCTGTACCATTGTGAAATTATAGAATTTCTTATTACAACTCCATTGTGACGACTGTGCGATGTCAGTATTTTAGCGTGCAATTTGCTGTCATGAGTATGAATTTACAACTTTGGCAGATTTTCATCTGTAACAATGATTTGATTTTGCCTAACACATTGAATATCAATAAAAGGCTCTCTGCGAGTACAGTGCAACGTCGTTGTCAAACCATGAATACGGATGATTTTAATTTTATTTCACGATAAAGGTACTAAGTCAGCAATCTGTCATTTAATCAGAAATCTAAATTAATATAAATTTAGGCAGTCACCTGCTTCAATTACTTGTTTTAACCCCTCACTTTAAACCTCTTTGTGCGCAGGATACGAAACGTTCCTCATAAACATCAATTTAAAAAAGTTAATGTCTTCGTTTTACAATTTCATTGTGACAATTACGGCCAGGTCATTAAATCAGCACGCGTCAATATAAGCATTAACAATCGCGAGTTTAAATTTATGGAACTTTCAGAGGCAATTCTTTGTTTCCTAGTGAATAATTTCATCATATTCCATATCAGTCAAAAGCTCTCTTTGAGAATCATGCGTAATTTTTGTCAAAAGATTGAACTTCTAAGTTTTGTTTAATGATCTCATTACGTTAATCACAACATATCATTATGCATCATCGTGCAGTCACCTAGCTGTGAGTTAAATATATTAATTTACTCATGCAGAGAAGTATGATAAGCTTGGCTTAAAACCGTTATTCATCCATCAGTAGATTGTGGAATTTATGAATTATGAAAATTTTATGTTATTTTGCGTCTTACGTTCGTCGGAGTGGCTGCGTCAGGTCAGAGAGACAGTGGACAGCCATTTAACCGATAATTGAAATCCATGCTTCTAGCAGACACCTACTATGCCGCTTGTCAATGGATAGTTCTCTGTGAATGCTCTGTGGAACTTCGGCCAAATATTTTAAATTCTAAGGAATTTTAATTTGATTATTCAATTCTGTGCAATCTCGTGAAGCCAATAGGTTATCGTCACTGTTAACAATAAGCGCTTGTTACACTCTTCACGAGTCAGGGAGCACGAGTCATAGGGTGCACTGAGGAGGACAATGTTGCTGTCGAAACGCAATGAGGAAAATTTCCTCAGAAGGCTTTAGTCGCGTGTTGTTCAGGGAGTGTAGCGACGAAAAAAACATTTTTTGGCATTGCGAACAAAACAATTCATTGTAAGGCAGGGACTCACACAGCATGTACGGCGGTTGTGAAATTTTGTGAACATTCTCATGACAGTTCGATTGCTGCTGTGGAGATGGCCGATTTTATCATCAGAATTAGAAGAAAGTACGACTCATTAGCAGGTGCTCAGCTGCAATCTTGCAAGTAGCCCTGGATTCACTTAAAAATCTTCCTACTCTTAAGAATTGTAGGAAGATGAGAAGAATGAATAGCATGAACGCTGCTCCACCAGCGATTTCGGCAGAGCCGCAATCAGGTGCTTTTGAACAGTTTCACATTGGTGCCAGTGGAACTGAACCTCATGAATATTAATATCTGGTACTCGGAGAAGTCTACAGATCTTGAGAGAGTCGAGAACGCCGAACGTGGTTTCCAGGGGGTAAATTTTGACTTGCATCGCCACTGTTTTGGCGAATTATGTAGCGCTGGCGAAAGGGTTCGATGATGTCCATCCTGTTGTATGTGCGCTTTTGCCGAACAAGCAGGAGAACACGTATTGTAGGCTCTTTCAAACGGTGAAATCAACGGTGCCAGAACTTCATTCGGATTCGATTGGCTGTCATTTCTAAATTGCACCAATGCACGCAATGAGGAACGCGTCCTCAGGTGTTCCGGCTCAGGTTTGTTTTTGCCATCTGAATTACAAAATGAAAAGCATTTGGGCGAACTGCGTCGACTTGGTGCTTATGAAGCCGATGCTAATTTTCCATTTGAAAGCGAGGATAAAAACAGCGTTTGCCTTAGTACCCATTGCTGAACTAGATCAAGAGATCGAGAGACTGGCGGACCTACTTCCAGGTGAACCGCACACGCTTCTTGTGTGGTTCGAAGCCAGCTACATCGGTAGCTTGAATCGTAGAGGAAATACAAGACGCTAGGTGTCATTCCCATCAGAAATGTGCTCGGTTTATTGTAGGGTGATCTACAGCAAAGACCGTAAGAATAACAATGCTTTTGCAATTCATCGTTGTTCAATTTCGACTGTTTTATTCGGCTGATATTCAAAGGTTAAAATATTATGAAACAAATTGAAAATGCATCTCTGTTTCAAAATAATTGTTTGACAGAATACAATGAAGGATACATAGTAAAATTATATGAAAATAGCATAGGAGAACTGTTGGTTTGAAGCCATATACAAACAAAGTATCGTGACAAAACTTACTACACTCAGAGCGAGCTTTTTGTTGATATGTAACATGATGAAATTAGCCACAAAAGAAACAGAAATAAACTACTGAAAGTTCAATAAATTCAAAGTCACGATTATTAACTTGGCTGTTTTAATGAGCTTGTGTAATAATGTCGAAAAAATCGTTAGACGAAGATTCCAACTTTGAAATTGATAATTATAACGAAAGTTTTACATTCTACTCATAGATGGCTTCAGAGCGATGTATAACGTTAGGTGTTCAATCAAGTAATAGATTTTACCACCTGAAATTATCAATATCAAATGCAATAATCGAATAATAGCGCGTGACTTAGTGACGTCACGCAGTCACCACGACTGAATCAAAAAATGAAAATTACTGTTATTCATACTTTAACAACAGCCTAGCATTGTATTCATACAGAAGCACCACTGATAAGCAATATGAAGGGCGCGGCCATATCATTGAAAGAGATGACCATCAACCAATGATATAAATTCAAACTCACGACCCCAGCCTGCTCAATAAATTACTGACGTTGTGCAGTCGTCACAATTGAGTTGTAATAATAAATTCAACCATTTAACAACGGCACTGACTTCACTCGATTATGGAGAAAGCTATCGAATATTACATGACATGGTGGGCGAATCACGCAATTAGTCCATCTGACCGTTGTCCAGTCATACAGGCGACGACTGTAGAATCGGCAGTGGTATGCCCAAATACGTTCCATTCAAGCCTCTGGACAAGGAGACATTAAACTCCTTTCTAAAATCTAATAA